TCGCGCCCTTCTTGGAAAATCCCCACCGGCATACTCCGTCGACGGATCCCGAACTACATATGGCCTGATTCCTGTAAGACCAGGGATATGTAGGCAGCTCAGGAACCAGAGCTCGGTCAAAATTCTTCAATCGTTTCATTCGGTCAAAATTGGCCATCATATCTTTACCCGACAACTCTTTCATCCTTCCCGGGTAAAGAGGGGCAGTTGTTGACACCCAATTTTTCCCTATGTATCTTTTACATACAAAATACTTTCAAAATAGCATGTACATGCATATATAAGCATACCCAAGAGTCTTGGTATTTTTCCCTAATTTTTAAGATTTTAAAATCAATTTATTGTCTATTTCTAGCAGTACAAAATCCAATAATTATTCCCAAATTATCATTTTGGTGAATAATTTATTTCTACTCTCATATTTACACCAAAATATAATTAAGGTGATTTTTGTATATTTTTACAAATTTATTTGGTATTTTTTAAATCTAAATTGCATATAATCGCAATTACAGCCTATTTTACGATTAATAGCATTTTACAATTCTAAAATTATTTCCAGTGTTTTTGGATTAATATTTATATATTATTAATTAGTTCAGTGCTTTTAATTTGTTTTGAAATCATTATTACTATTTTATAAAAATAAAAAGGGGAAAATTGTCTATTTAACATCTAACCCGTTTCTATTTCAATTATAGCCTCATTTCTTTTCAATTTTAACCTCAATTTAACCCCCAATTCCGCCCCAAATTGAAACCTACCCAATTCCTAAATTACCCGACCCCTGACCCGATCTTAAAACCCACCCGGCTCCCCTTTAATCCTGGCCGTTGATCATTTTGATCAACGACCGTAATTCTTCCTTTCCATTTTTAATTTCCATAACCCCCTTACCCTAATTCATTCTATCTAAGGCGCCGCCTTGAAATTCTATTCGTCTCCCAAACTCTCTCTAGCCTCTCCGAAACCCTAATCATCTCCCACCTGTTTCTACCATGTTTCCACCGGAATCCATGGCACTCCAAGCCATGGGTGGACTGTGCTCACTCTCTCTCACTGTTAAACCTAAGCTACTCGAAGTTTGGGGGCCCGACTTCAATGTCTCTCTTTAGATCTTTCTCAGATCTGTCGATCTATGGTATTTCCGGCCATTATTCCGGCGTGTTCAAGCAATATGAGTCTTTTCGACTCAGGATCCGGCTTTCCTCAAGACCTTTCTCATTCTAGGGTTGTCTCTGCAACTCTAAGCCATCTGAGGTTCTGTACTTGCTTATTTCTTTTAGATCTCTGACATGCCTAAGCGTTATTTCACGTTTCAAAGGTTTTTCCCAAATTTCCTCTTTAAAATCGTTCAATCTCAATTTTAGGGTTTCTGAAAAGGGTTTCTTCAAATAATTTTTTGATCGTTCCTGTTCTTTCTTTATGTGTGTTTATGCCCGTATGTTTTCTTCTTATTATGCATGAGTTTGCTCTCTTGTTTCTTCCTTTTTATTATTATGCAAGACTCTTCTATTTTTTCTGCTGTTATCCTTATGCTCGCATGTTAATTTGTGTTGTTTTCCTCACTCTTTGCTATATGTGTTTATGTTTGAATCCTGGATTTTGGTCGCTTTACTGAGTTTTGTTTGTATATATTTCCCTACTGTTGTTTAAAAACTTGCATCACCTCTTTCTTCTGAGCTTGTTTGTGTATGTTTGCCTCTCATAACTCTTTGAAAGAGATTTTTAAGGCTCTTTCAAAGACATTGTTTTCTCACCTCTGATTCTATTCGAAACCCTAGGTTTTGGGGTTTCTTTGACAAGTGGTATTAGGGTTCCGTTTTGGGACCCTAGGCTTTCAGACTCACTGTGAGTCTGTAATTAAGCTTGAATCTCTTTGCTTGTGACTCTGAGACCTTCAGTGTTAAACTCTTTTTCTAAATAACCTAACGACTCTTTTCGTTTGATCTGTGTGCTTATATATACGAGAAATTTCTCTTTCAAAGGGTTTTTTTTATCAACTAAGTGATTGATTCTGAAATCCCTTTAATAAGGCTAATGATTTGCCACTGATTTTTCTTCGATTGAACCTCCTTTACCTTTCTTGACTTGGTTCATTCAATTGAACTTGCAGTTTTTGGTTTCATGGCTGTTTAATTGATTCCCTTGCCATATTTGGCACAAACCGTGTACCATTGACTATTTCCTTAAATAACTTCTATGTATTTACCCCTTTTGTGCTACTTTGAAAAGGTTTTGTAAAAAATTTCTTTCCTTAACCTAATTTCTA